TTGCTGAAGTAACACATTTAGCTTTGATTTTGTTGTTTAATTTTTTACAGTTCATTGTAAGAATTCTAGTTTGCAAGCTAATTATGACATATATTCCTATGACCTAGTTACCTTTTTACTTTCTGAAATCCAAAAAGAACTCTAGCAGTTGCAAAACTTTTTTTACTCCTTTTGTCTATTAGGTGATAAGTGATTAACAACTATCCACTGCTCAAGACTAATGTATTATAGAGCTTTTATTGCATAAAAGGAAAAACTTTTTTTGAAGCTACACTACTTTGCTTCTTCTGCAATAAAGTTGGATTCAGAACACCCAGGCTCTTAAGAGTCAGCAGTATCAGCTGGACCCAATTGAAAATGGGAAACATGACCTTCAAGACCTCATCAGCCTTCCCAAACAACTGTCAGGTCTTGAAGAAACTCACTCCCAACAACACTCTCTTGGCAGTGATTTTTTTATTGAGAGATAGAGAGGTCTCAAGCATAGACGATCTGTGTCAGAACTGACTCCCTTGGCGCCAGTTCTCTTATTATACAAAATTCACACAACCCCCCTCCCCATGACCAGTCTAATCACACCGATACATCCAGCCCACCAAAATCTACTGTGCACCATTAGCCCACCCCCAGCACCTGCAAGCATAGGGTTACATTAGCTAGCAGTGTCTGGTACTCAAGATCAAGCACACATTCTTCCCATTGAAGGGAGGCCCCACATACAGTTACAAGCTAGCGCGACTCCCAGCAAAGCAGTTCCACCCACATATCCTCACACACTCACATACTTCTCCCCCCCCCCCAGCCAATGTTCCCTCTAAGCTGTGCAGTCCTGTGAGCAAAAAATCTACTTTGTGAGCGACTGGCATTAAAGTTGTGAGCGAGCGATGTGGCTGATGCATAAATTAGTTTGCTTTGGAGCCATCGTTCCTGAGCTAAGGCAAAAATGTGTGAGCTGGAGGCTAAAAAACTGTGAGCTAGCTCACACTAAATCAGCTTAGAGGGAACACTGCCCCCAGCCAGAATGAAACAGGACAATAAGCATACAGAACCAAAGATAGACTGACAGTTAAGAAGCCCATGGCAAACGAAGCTCGAGTTTGACAACAACATTAGCTTTGTTTTGTCAGAATTCAGTTTCAGTGTTCACCCTTAGTCATTTAACCACAACAGTCAGACGCTGGTTCAGGACCTCTACAGCCTCACCTGGCAATTTAGATAAAAAGATATAGAACTGGGTGTCATCTTCATATTGAAGACAGGCTACTCCAGAGGTCCCCAAACCTTTTGAGCCTGTGGGCACATTTAGAATTTCTGACATAGGGTGGCCAATCAAAAAATGTCAGGGAGTGAGGTTGTGCATAATTCTGATAGTAGCTCTCTAACACTTCAGGCAGAAGAACAAGGTTTGAGTCAAGTGGCACCTTTAAGAACAATGAAGTTTTATTCAAGGTATGAGCTTTTGTGTGCATGCACACTTCCTCAAGACATAATGAAGTGGAATTTACCAGGCCATACATATAGGCAGAGGGTGAGCAGTAAATTAGCATACAACATAATGAAGATGTTTATCAGATTCAGGAATAACAAGCTTAGTTTATATGGTTACCATTCGTTTGGGTTCAACTGGGGGGAAACATAGTGAAGGAAATAAACCTGTCTAAATTGGAGACTGATGTATCCTATTAACGATACATCAGTCTCCAGTTTAGAAGAACAAGAGAAGAAGAGATTGGATTTATACCCCGCCCTTCACTTGGGAGTCTCAGAGCGGCTTACAAACTCGTCTCCCTTCCCCTCCCCACAACAGACACCCTGTGAGGTAGGTGGGGCTGAGAGAGCTCTTGACAGAACTGTCCTTGAGAGAACAGCTCTGACAGAACTATGGCTTGCCCAAGGTCATCCAGCAGCTACAAGTGGAGGAGTGGGGAATCAAACCCGGTTCTCCCAGATTAGAGTCCGCACACTTAACCACGACATCAAACTGGCTCTTCGCCTGCAGTTCCTGCTGTCTGATTCTCCATCTCTTCCCGAGGGCACCTTCAGACATATTTATTTCCTTTACTGTATATATATGATGTATTCATTAAGGCAGGACCCCCCCCCCATCGTGTCCACTGGTGCCCACCAAGGGTTTGTTGAACGTGAGTGGGGCCAGGTGGAGCACTTGCCCAACAGGGCTCCTGACTGGCTGGGCAGATGAAAATAACCACCATAGCACTGGTTGCATTTATTTTGTCTCCTTCTTTCCCAGTGTATTTTGTAAAACTATCTCTCTTCTCCCCTGCGCTTACCAGTGTATTTTTAAACATTGTGCCTCTTCTCCCCTTTACTTAAGTTTCCTGTATATGAGTTGGGTTTGCATCCTGTGTGGTTGGCTTCACCTCCTGCAGCAGCCATTTTGTGGCTGTACCCCCTACCATGTGTCAAAATTCCACAGGTGCCCACAGGGTCAAAAAGGTCGGGGCTCCCCTTCCCTGGTCTATGGGCTCTACAGAGGGACTGAACAGGGTGGGGGGCCAAGGCCATTTTCTTTCCCCTCGTGTGGGAAGAGGGATAGAAAGGAGATAATCTTTCTACCACTATGTAGGAATAGATCATGCTAAGCCTCTTTTAGGAGGGAAAGATTTCTCCCTTATAAAAACTGGGGTCTAACTTTAGGATGAGGTGGCATGGAGTTCATCAGGAACAAGAATTTACCACAAATCTGACTTCCACTCAAAGTGGTTAGCACAACATGAACCACAATATGCTAGACATTTCAGCCAAGGAATCATTTAAGTTCTGCCTAGGAATCACAAAACAGGAACCCGACCTTATCAGGAACAGGCTTAAACCAACTGAAGCAGCGAAGATGGTTTATAGCTGGAAACGATGAGGAAAATGTAGCCAAAGATGCCCAAATCAGCTCTTACAAACAGATCAGACTTGCAGGTTCAGAGGCTGCCCATTTTCTTATGGTCTTCATTTGGGTACTATGAGTGTGAGAGTATTCCCTGTTAACAGGGACAACACACTGTCCCTGTTGCTGGTTACAGGCTGCCTAGTGCCTACATTTCTGCTTTCACTCCAACTAGCCTTGTGGCCTTTGCAGAGATAGTTTACCACAGTTGTGCACTCCCAGAGATCTACTGATGTATTAACTAACCACCTCCTTTCCCCAGAGCCCTTTTTAGTAACGTAAATCCATTTTCCAAAACTGACCTTGTTCCCTGCATCCAGGAATTTATTGTGGTTACAGGGAACAAACTTCCAGTATTCAAAGCAAGACATTTATTAAGAAGCAATGGATTTTTGAAGCAATGGATTGTACAAAGTTACCAAGTAAAGATGCATAAACACAATCCTGTTTCTTGCTAAGCATACCATGTTATTCTAGGGTAGGCTCTTTAAAGTTACTGCTTTCTATCAGTCCTTTATTACCTTGAGTCTGGTCTGCCTGCCCTTATTCGTTCCATGTGGAGGCCGTCAACATAGAGCCCAGGTGTGAGAGCTCCTCAAGTTCCCCCCCAGAATCCCACCTTTCAAAACTGACCTTCTTCCTTGCCTCCCAGTTTATTACCCTTCTCTGCCCCACCCCACTTGTCAATCCTTCTCTCTTCCCGCCTTCCCCAGGAAGAGACACCAGCCGGCGTTTGTCTTCTCCTAGGTGTCACATCCCTGCCAGCTGAGGTGACCCTTTGACTTCTCTGCTGGCCAGAACTATTTATTTGCATCATTAAAGCCTTAAGTACCAGCAGCTTCTGAGATCCACCAACAGACTGGAGAATGCTTGAAAGCAATTCATTTCCCTGTCTTCCTGTTTCTTGTCCTTGTGCCAACAAAGAAACTTCTTGGAATGAATGTGGGAATTTTGACTCTCCATAAGTGTGATGTAGCCCTCAAGTGAAGTGCATTTCTCCACAAGGGGATTACGAAAAAAGGACTATCCTCCATTCATTTAAGCACGATAGCGAAACAATCTACAGACACAGTATGATAATCTCTGATGGTCCGATGCTGGGGGAGATGTATGTGACTATTGCCTTGATTCAATGTTTGTGGGTTTACTGGAAGCCCCTGATTGACCATCATGGGAAACCAGACTCAGGACCACGCAGGGACTCTGGATCCCACCTGGCTGAGCTTTACGCTCTTTTCTTTAAAAAATATGTACCCAAAAGTTGTTTGACCAAGGCTGTAATTCTAAACACGCTAAGAAGTAAATCCCATTGAAATAAATGCTTTGACTATGCAAGGCATTAAACGTCACTTTCTAAGAAAAAAAATAACCAGAGATCTATTATTAACTGAAGTTGGGTCTAGGTGGCTTAACTAGTGAATGACTCAGTGGAACAGGCCTCCTTGAAAGGTCAGGAAGCCTTCTAGACTACTTTTTGAAAGGAATGATGAACACGCTCAAGATACAGTTCCCTATTCCAGGTAACTGTAAGAGTAGGACAAAACATATCAGGGGGGCCTATTAAATACAGGTGTGCCCAAGGTATGAGTTTTATAATTAAGTACACAAAGAGTTAACCAGTGTTCCTATATGAAGGACATGAAGCAGTGAGTTGCTCCATACTTCAGGATGGCATTTCCTGTTACAAAACTGGACAAAAGAAATTGAAAGAAGCGTACTTCCTTTGAAAACTAGGAGAGAATTCTAATTCTACCTGGTGTGCTGGTTACTACCTAGGTACGGAATCGTATGGTACTGGGGGTCTGGATTAGGCACTTCTAGGGGAAAATGAGGATCAGCCCTACGGAACCCTACTGCTTCACGGGGCTCGATATTTGCCTTCAGCCCACCTGCCTCTGGCCTCCCAACTACTGCAGCTTTTTAAGGCTACTATATGTTATTAAGACTTGTGCAGGAAACATTTGGTGTTAAGTGAAGGAGCAGCTGCTGGCACAATGTCAACCATACATGATGTTATATCACGCCCAAGACAGCAGAAATGAATAAATAGAACCATTTTTATTGAAAATACAAAGTCTCACAGTTAAAACTTGTTCAGCTGAGGAAGATTATGGCTTCCAGTGGCCTATACCCAGGTATCTTTCCACCCAGAGACTCTTCTTGAACACCTTGCTCCAATAGCTAAAGGAAACCCTTTCAATGGTTCTGCCAATATGTGCAGTTCTTGACCAGTCGAGACAATGAGTTCTCCATCTTATGTGGGGATGTTTAGAAACAGTTCTGAGCCTGTGCCTTGAGAACACCAAGCATGCATGAGCCCCCGCTAGCCAAGCCAGCACGTTCCGTCTTGGGCACAATCCAGAACTGGTCCAGCTGGTCGGCGTGCCCTCTTCCAGGATCCTCAGCAACTGCTCCTCAACAGAAAGTGACAAGTGCACACAACGTTCTTGTGGACAGCTTAGGGAGTGACCCAAGGGTGACACCTGGGCCTTTTAGTGCAACAGGAGGTAGTTTGTGGGGAGACTAGTTAGCTCACCTCCTGCCAAACAGGAAGTAGCTTACAAAGTCACTAACAGGCCTTATAGCGCAAATACAAAACTTGCCTCGTCTCTGCTGCCAGAACAATGGTCTTCGATGCAAGGGCTACTTGCATCGTCAGAAATTGCTGCTGTCTGGAATCTGGCAAAGTCTGAAATCGTCAGACCACAGCAGAGATCAGGAAGCAGCCCAAGAATCCTTCCGATTAGACAGAAACACAGCCCCCAGAGCCCTGTAAACTCTCCCTCCGTCACTCCAGCACCTCGAGCACGGTCTTGTTGAGAGCAATTGAAAACATTTCTTCCCAGGGAACTCGCAGCCACTCCACCAGCTCAGCCAGCAGATCTGGACACTCGGTGCGCAAGTGCCAAGTACTCTCCACCTTCAGGACCTGCAGAGGTAGCAAAGCAGAAATCAAGGCGTTGGCACACAATGTGACACTCTAACTCTACTCATAGTGCAGTTCTCAGCACTGGGCCTTGTGGGACCACTGGTGCCATACTCCTGAAGGTTCCCAAAATATGTTCCCTTCCCAACTTTGCACATGAAAGCTTATACCTGGTGTGGATACATCGAAAACATTGCAGTTTTTTAGCAAGGACGTGGATTTGCACTTGGGAGCATTTAGCAAGAATGCCAGGTACCATCCAGGGGGCAGGTCTCATCATCAAATTGAACAAGTATCAGTTGGGAATGCGCCAGAGGTGGTTTACTTGGGACACAGGGTAGGGAGTGGGAACATCACCTCAATGTGGGACAAGGTTGAGGCCATCCAAAACTGGGAGCCCCTGAAGACCAAAACAAACAAGCCAGGGCTTTCTTGGGATCGGCTAACTACTACAAACCTTGGGGCCACAGCTGACCCCCTCTCCTCCCTCACCAAGAAATCTCTGCTGGATAAGGTCGCATGGACATCAGTTTCCCTGCCCGTACTCAAAGGTCCTGACTTTGAAAGGCAGTTCCTTGTTGCCACCAATGCCTCCGTCTACGTCCAGGCCATTCTGATTCAAGAGTGTGAGGGAACCAGACATCCCATAGTGTATCTGAGCAGGAAACTCATCCCTAGGAAGAGGAACTGATCTTCAGGACAAAAGGAGTGTATGGTGATTGTGCTGTAGACTGAAGGACTGGCGTGTGTATTCTTGTATGGGTAGTATGTTTACCAGACACGTCTCATAATGGTGTTGGTGGAGTCTACGACTGAGCAAGCTCCGTACAAGGATGCTCTTCTGCTTAGAATCTTGGGAGGGGGAGGTGTGGAGAAATGCCCCCCCCCCCCTGAATTCATCAACGCACGTGTTAAGAGCAGCTTGGTTTTCTCTGTGGGCAAAGAGGGGGAGAAGAGGATGCAGCCTGAGTGTCATTCCAGGAGTCCCAGGGGCCTCCTGCTTTGCAAGGCTAATGGCCTTTCCCCTCTTCCCTTGGAGACCAGCAATTCAGGCACAACGGGCTAGAGGAGCAGGAACAGAAAGGGGATTTCCCAGGCATGCCTGCGGATATCTCCCAGCAGTGCTCCAGGCCTCGAGGTGACAAGACCCAGGGTGGAGTGGGAGATTTTAAAAATGCTCCACAGTGGGAGAGAAGAAGGTATTTTGCTGGCTCTTCATACAGAGCAGAATGCCAGGCTGGGCTGTTCTCCACGGCAGCCATTTTTCCTTGGACCCTGCGCTCTCCCTGGTGGCTGCTCAGAGCTACCAGGCAACGGAACATCGATTCAAACCAGCAACCCTTTAAGAGTATTCATGCCTGCTCTATTTTACCATCAGTTAGGGCATGCCTAGAGAAGAAGTGAAAGAGGATTGTGTTTTTAACCAATTTTCTTTGGATTCCAATCACTCAACTTAGTGCTGTGCTTAGGTATGCTTGTAAACCTTTTCTTTTAAATAAGCCCTTTTTGACTTTTGAAGATCGTCAGAAGCATAGTTCCCTCTAAGCTGTGCTAGGGGATGCTGGCACACAAAATTTTAGATACCAGCTCAGAGGTTTCTGCTTCTGCACAAAACCAGGGGTCATTTCCTGCAGGAGCGCACAGAAGCGGAGCTCCGGCAGTAAAGAGCCCAGGGGGCGGGCACATGCAACAAGCCCCACCCCCTGCTCCCAGCAGCCCTCAGTCAGAGCAAGAAGCAGCCAGGTAAGTTGCAGAGCTCTCCCCGGCCCAAAACAGTCCAGTGGCACCTTTAAGACCAAGTTTTATTCAGGTACAAGCTCTCCCTCTTCTGCAAGGACAGATCTGCACGTCCCCCCCAAAAATAGCTAGCAATCCAAAACAGTCCAGTGGAGCCTGAGCAGTGGGTGTTGTCTTCTGACACACTTCCGGTGATGTCAGGGGGCGTGGCATATGCAAATAAGTTATGCTAATGAGCTCCTGCACCTCTTTTTCTACAAAATGACCCCTGCACAAAACATTCCCCCCCCCCTCCATTGGAAACAATGGCGGATGGGGGCACCTCCTTCTGGGGCCCACAGAATTGGACCCCCTGGTCCAATCTTTTCAAAATTTGGGGGCATTTTTGAGGAGAGGCACCAAATTTGCAGCCTAGCTGCTGGTGCCTCTCCTCAAAAATCTACCTAAAAAACAGCCCCCCAGAGATCCCCAGATCGATTATCCATTATAGCCTATGGGGCCTATTGACCATAATGGTCCGCACAGGCTAAATGGACCCGGAAAAAATGATTTATTTATTTTTTTGCACACCCCTATTGTGCTTTTTAGTATGATTTGTAAGCTACCTTGAGTCACAGGGAAAAGTGGGATATAAATATTTGAATAAATAAGTACTTTGGGCAGGTGGATAACATTTAAGCAAATTCCTCTTTGTTACGTTAGGCAGGGTTCTGACAGCGATCGTTCCTCCTTTGTTATACTTGACGTGTAATGCTGGTTGTCATATTTCACTATTTACACGATAGTCAAATACAGACTCACTCGCAACTTTAATGCTACTAGCTTTTTTTGCCCACAAAGTAGAATTTCCACTCACAACACTGTGGAGCTTAGGGGGAACATTGGTCAGAAGTCTCTGTACCACACAGATCCTCCACTGCCTCCTTGGACATGCTATCGGAAGGGGGAGACCTGGGGGAGGAAAGCCGTCTGTGGGAACGTGGCTATTTCTCCAGGGGAGCCCCAAAGCGGTACTCAGTCAGTCAACCTTTATTGGCATAGTTAAAATACAACATGGATCACATTTTAAGGTGCATATAAAAAATATAAGTATGGGAATATAAAACAGTCAACCCGACAGGGCTTTGACCTTATATTCTCTTACCCTCATAGCGATAGAAAGAAATTGCGCTACAGAGAAGGTAATGTGAGGGCGAAGATCTGATAAAAGGAAAGATATAAGTCTCTCTTCAGATAGACTATGCTTATTGTGCAGGAGAGGGTTGATTAGAACATCCCGAATCCTGTTATAAAATTCACAGCTGAGTAGGATGTGAGCAATCGATTCTGGGTTCCTGCTGTTACATGGGCAGGTCCTTTCAAGGTAAGGGAGTATTGGTAAATCTGCCGTAAAGGACCTATGATGGTAGGGCATCAAAACGTGCTAACATAAAAGCTCATCTTAGTGATGGAACGGTAAGCTGTGAAAAATAATCAGCGATACCCAGTTCTTGGGATTATGTTAAACTTCAGAGGGGAAGGGGTGAGTCCAGAACAGAGAGTTTGCTTTTCAATATCGCACATTCTCTTCCTCAAGGACCTGAAAATTTGGGATTCACCTGACAGAAGCAGGGAGTCAAGGGGGATACCAACTGATTGTATTTTTGTCAGAACTGAGTTTGTCCAATTGGATGTGAATGTTTCTGATAACAGCAGGTGAACATAGCTATTGGGTTTTGTTCTGGAGATGTAGCCAAAATTTTAAAGTTGATAGCCAGACCCTGGTCTCAAGCAGATGTTGTCCTGTCTCCAGGCACGTAGCTGCATAGCTTACACAATTTGGCACTCCTAGGATACGCCGCAAAAACATTGCCTGGATCTGCTCAACATGTTGGTTAAAGAAGCCGATCCAGATGGGGATCCCATACAGAATTTGGGACACAACCTTGGCATTGAAAACTCGTACAGCAGCAGGGACAAATTGGATGCAATTATATTGACAACAGGGGCTGATAAGTGGCTGCATCCACTGAAGCAATTAAGAGTATTTCCACATCAATTGAGGCTGTCACATTTGCTTCAAGGCTGAACGCTCCTGCTCATCCACAAGTTCATTACTTGTATTGAGGAAACTCCCCAGATATCGTGAATGTGTCCCCCTTCCCGATTTTATTTTTTGCTGCTGTTTCGACTTATAGCTACTGACTGTTTTTTAAATTTTAAATTTTATAAATAAATAAATTTAAAAAAAAAAAACTAACAGC